GCGCGATGCATCCCTCCGGCCTCCTCCTCTCTCCCGACTCCGATAGCTCCGCGAGCTTCTTGCCACCCTTACCCCTTTACCACCCGCCGTCCACGCACCCTCTGAATAACCTTAGTTACTTTGCTCGACTGTTAGGTAGCTAGCGCGCTGCCGAAGTACGAAACTCCCGGCTCCTAGGAGAGTCCTAGGTAATCACCGAACTTCGCCGCTCCCTCGGGAACGAGTAGCGGGGCCTCACCCCACGACTCCGATCCCGGCACCAGGAGCCGATATAACTTTGTTCCTGGGGGTGCAGTACCGCTTCACGAGCCAAGGCGACTCCGTAGCCATGGCTCGTCGTGGATTTCCATTGCCTTGCGCGACTTGTATTATCGTTGTTACGCGTATTGCGCGCACTGAAGAAGGCATTTTATTCGAAAAGTATTTTCGTGCGGTGTATTTTCATCTTTTTATTTATGATATAACAAAAATCAGATTTTTTCTCTCTCTCTTTCTATCGTATTCTATATACATCCTCGCTATTATAAGATTTTCCGTTGCCAAAATATGATGTGATTTCAAAATTCAGTACTGTATTATATATAATTATCGTTATTTTAAAAGCGGATTAGATGGTCTTTTTTATATTATTGATTTATGCCAAAATGAAATAGAAACTATTAAAGTAAAAAATAACACATTTATTATTTTATCTTATAGATCATAATTGTGATTGAGCTTTAAAAATAGTCAGTTGCAAATGTTTTCTAATTATTCTGTATGCTAATTTATTTTTATAAAAAATATTTATAATAATTATCGAATATTCATAATATTCATAATAAAAATAATTTGATAATTAAATTGGAGTTATTAACATAAGGAAGAATAAAGATTAATATATTTTTGTATAATGGATTTGTACAACACTTCGTTATTTCTGTTATAAATCTGCCTTTTATTTTCATAATTCTAAATAGAAACAGATAGTTTTATATAAGCTATATTATTTGAAGTTGTCTGAAGCAATCGTGACTAGACAAAGAAGCAAAATTAACATTTAATTGATAACAAGATAAAGTTTTAGTCAAGCTTAGTGAAAATGTTGAAAGCTGAAATGTTGAAAATAATTCTTATTTTAACGTAAAGTTTAATTAGAAATTTGATTGCGAGACAGATTTAATAATCTGTCAAACAATTTATTAAATGATAGAAAATGATTGGAGCAAATCCGAGAGACTCGGGTTTGAAGACGATCGATTGAAGCGATTTTCTTGACAGAAAACGCTGGCTCGCGTTTATTACGATCGGTCTACGAATCTCGAGAATTTCACTCTTATCGCGACGTATTCTCGGCGAAGCGGGTCGATGGACAATAAGGCCGTTGGATGAATCCGCGTATCTCAACAATGGCGGCTTATTATCTCGAACAAAAGCAGAGTTATGCTTCCCCCTTGTCGGCGGTGGATGCTGGTCACCCCCCGAGAAAGACGATCGTAAGCCTACTAATGGATTCCTTCAGCGGCAGCTGTCGCCTTAAGATTGACCGACTTCAACTGAATTAATCTCGATGTCCGTGCCACACCGTTTTCAGTAAATTACGGCCGCTGAGAAAACATCCCTCCCTTTCGTCGCATCCCTAACAACAAAACTTCCCGCGAACTTGGCTAATAAACTAATTAGAGCTAAGAGTTTTTTTGTGAAATGTCTTGTTTGTTGTGCAAAATTATTTCGTTAAATATGCGTTCTTGACACTCAGTTTTTAATATATGATATTTCTAAAATGTTTTTTATTTAGAAAAAAAAAACAAAAAAAACTAACATTAAGATGATTTTGTTGATACTTTTACAGAGAATAAAAATCTATTTCATAGAATAAAAATCTAATTTTTAGAAGAAAACGTATTTGTTGATTAAACAAGGCAAATCATGTAACTTGTCCAGCGATTTTCTCAGAGATGGCGTATGGAGCCATTTTGCGAATTGTTCCGACACATAGAGGGAGGGTTAATTATTGATCGTAAATGCTCTGCTGCTGTGCTACAGCCACCTACGCAACTCGGGGGCAAGTTTCTAGTTTCTGCTCTCTGAACCGGTCGGAAAATCAGTCGGTAACTTACACATTATTTATTTAATTAAAATGTAATTTACAAGATTTTATTGTAATTATTTTTTAGATAAGTATTTTTAAAATATTTCCTGCTTCCGGTTAAAGCACACAATAATTCTAACATTTATTTATTATGTAAAGCGGATCTTAAGGTGCTCGGATTAGTTAGTCCCGAAAAACCCGACTGTTAAAACGCTCACTCGTCACTGTGCGAATCGAATCCCATCTTACTCGACATCGCGATGCTTACTGAGCTACGGTTTGCCGCAAAGACCGACGAGAGATGAATCCCTTGCGAAGATGCGACTTTCCGAAACTAGTCCTTGCCCATTACCGGAATTAAGAGAGCTGGTCAAACGCGTTCGCTTCCGTAACGGAACGAACTGGTTTGCGAGTTCAAAGTGTGCGCAGCATCGTGATGGACCAGAGTGACCGGTTCGCATTGCGCGAGAAAAGAATATCGGGGATCCAATTTGAGACCGGACATCGAGATGACCAACCGGTCCAGCAGATGTTACTTCAGCTGCCTGGTACCAGTAGCGATTATCAAACGTAAATGAGATGAAAGCAGAAAGGAGAAGAATGGGATGCGGATTTTGTTTTGTGGGCTACATTTTATTCTCACTCTTTCCGGACCATGAAGAAATTTGTTTATTTCATGAATACATCAATTTTTTCGTTGATCATGCAATATATAACAGATGTGTGCATTTTAGTACAAAATTCTGAATTATGTACCTCAAAGTCATGCTATTGTATATATATCATATTTTCTTTTTTTTATAATGGTAGTATTTTATAATGAAAAGTGCAAGTTATATCATATTTATGAAAAATAATGTTATATTTAATAGAAAATTTTTTCTGATTAAAACTGTTTGTGTATAAAGTATAAAGAAATTTATATCTTAAAAAGTATATGAATATTTAATATTTAATATTCACTATTGTAATATAATGAATAAAAGTGTAAAAGTATGCGAAAATGTTTCTGATTTAAATAAATAAGACTGTAATGCGATAAAATAAGCATACAAAACTTTTTTCGGATTTACAATAGCTTAACTTTGAAGTGCATGTTAAATTAAAAGAGTAATGATTCGAATAATAATAATAGAAAAGAATAATCAATTCAATCGACATTATCGTGTCTCGATGATAATGACATGCTATTGACGTCTATTTCGATAAATATGGATTTAATAAATATATACACGATAGTATAGGATGAATTTGTGATTCATAAATAAATAAATGTTTATTACGTTAGTCAGACATGTGTAAAGTAATTTGCGTTATTAGGGCTACCATATTATTAGAGAGAATTATAATTAATCGGAAACACCGTGTGCAGAATTAAATATCAGCTCACACAAATGACAATTGTTTTCTAGTTATTTCAATCTGAATAACTACTCATGCTATTTTCTACAAGCATATTTCTTTATACAGGACATTCAATTAGGTTATATATATATATATATATATATATATATATGTCTATTTAACTAATCGAAAATATGAGCAAAAATCTTGCTAAAGCCGATACAGCACACAAATTTATATCTCATTAAAATTCATGTTTCACCAAATTTGATTTACAACTTTACAAATTTGATTTACTGTCAAAATAATATACATGCATATATAATTATCTATGAAGCAACTTTTATTTCTTCATGCGCGCTGAAAATAAAATTCAAACAACGTGTATATATTTTTACATTGTAATTGTATAAATTAATATTTGGATATCGATTTTCAATTATTTTTAGTTTAGTAAAATAGTATCTTTGCGTTAAAAGTTACACCAAAAAAGCAAGTCCGGGTGTTTGGAAGTTTTACATGATTAAGCAGTTTTTTCATTTTTCTTTTCTGTATGCTTTTCGTCACAATTTCACGTTCTTTTCTATATATTTGTTAGAATATATTCTGCAATGTATAATTTCCTGATGATTATTCGCCGCAATGTTATCAAATGTTATCGCATATATAGCCGCAGACACTGTTTAAAATTTATAACATTCGCAATTAACAAAGGCAGGTAGCAATGATCAAAAATTCTCAAACGCAATAATTTCATCGTATAATGTAAATAACGCAGTCCCCAAAGCCAAAGGCAGAACGAAATTAAACTCGTTTAAAATGTGCAAGGGCTGATTAGTACGTAAACATCAAGTAGTGGAGAGCCGCTTTGTAAACAATTAGTCGTCTGCAGTAGAAGCCGCGAAGGTGGAGCGTAGGTGGCAAGGCGTCGTGCTAATAGGCCGCGATGAAGAATGAAACTTCTGGCTGGCCGCGAGTATAATCCGGTGAAATGTGAAGCCGGTAAATAAATAATTAAATAATTAGCGCGCGCAGCGGTCGCCGCGCCGCCGACTGTCGTGCGTTTCTCAGCGTGTTTAATAGTCGCCGGCGTGAAAGAAAAGGCGAGAAAAAGGATGGTGCTTCCGGTAGAGCCAGATGGAAAGTTTTTGACGGTATTACGTTTGCGCATTACGTCGAGACCGAAAACAATTTCTTCGCGTCACCTCGGCGGCGTGAATTTCTCGTAAAGGCCTGAAAATAGCGAGAGCTACCCGCCCGTCCTGTGTGACTCTCAACCCCCTTCGTTTTCGCCAATTTTTGCCTTTCCGCGAAAATGCAAATTACGCGTTTGCGTAGTGGTGGTGGAATTTTTTTATTAGTGCGTTAGGTACGACATTTGGTGGTAGAATAAAGAGAGCTTTAATAATTGTCTCGTGGAAGTATTTCGATATAAACAGCAGACTTGGAAGTGGATCTTCGTTGAACTTAATGTTTATTTTAAGCGATTTTATATTTTGGATATTCAACAATATAGATTTTAATTTGCTATATATGAATAGAATTTTTGTACCTCTTTTTTTTCCGTTCCTACGATTTTTCAAAGTTTTTAGTTAAACATCAGAACTTGTAACATTACGTTAATGAATATGCGTATTTATGATATAAATTTTACATAAAATTTGAATTTTAAATTTTATATTTCATAGACTATAAATTTTTTTCATATTTTAACTTGATATAGTTTTCGAATTCTTTTTTGTGAAAATTTCGAATATATAAAGTAATATCTGTCTGAAAAATCGAACAAAGAATATGATTTTTAGTAGTCTATTTATAGATCCGAAGTATTTTGTAAAAATTTTTAGATTTTAAATAGTTTCTAGTTAAAGTATTGAAACTTTAATACTTTCAAGGAAATTTAATTCTGAATGGTCTAAGACATTTCTGAATGAAAAGAAGTATAACGAGTCTCTGGAATATTTATCGCTCCGAAAAAGGTAATTTGGTAAGAAGGAAGCAGTCGAGGAATGTATGATTTTTAATCAAGTTTTTTTTCACTAGAGCTAGATATTTTCGTTACCGGGATCTTTCGCGATGCGTAAGTCCGTAAAATATTTGAACTCCCGTCCACTGTATTATTTACATGTTAAATCTCTGAGAGTCACCTAAGTCGGCGGGATGCGACGCGGGATATGAACTCTTCTTGGCCGTTTCTACCTTACCGCCTTTCCGCCGGTGGCGTACGCGCGCGTGAAGCTAGAATGAGTAAAAAAGAAGGAAAAGGGAAGGAGAGACGGGGGTGGAGAGTCGGGCGCGCGAGGGGGTGGGTGTGATGCGAGCGTGTACCGTTTTATCGCGCGGTTTATCTCGCTCTCTTGCATCCCGTCGCCGTCCTGAAGCCCGGCGTTTGCCCCGTGGCCGTCGAGACGGGGTAAGAACGCTAATTGGGAACCCGAGGCCGTTTCTTCCTCCCGTCTTGGAAAAAGCGCGCGACTCCCTCTCTGCCCTCTGCCCTCTGCCGTCTGCCGGTTTTTTACTGACGCCCCCGCTAAAACAGATTAAGGCTCCGAGTCCTTCGCGCGCTCACTTACACGGCTCGCGTTAATTTGAATATATGCATGTTGATTCGGAGAGAATTTTGAGATACGCGATTAACACAAGAGTCTGGCTTATATTTTAACGCGTCGCTCGGGGTGCTTCCCGGGTTATTTTTCAGCTGCTCGTTTTCGGAATATAGACAAACGGGGTCTCGTTTTCAACGGCTTCTTTTCAGCCTGAGCTCTAAACGTATGCGTCTTGTAGGTTTTATTAGCATACAGATTCCGGCGTAAAAATGCATCGGACAATTTTAATTTGATTTAATAAACGACATAATTAAGTTTTCTTAATGGATAACATGTTACCAAGATATTCGGTTGTTGTTGAAAGCATATCTTTCGAATCTTTTTTTTTTGTGATAGCTCGATATTGCAATTTTAAAACTTTAGTTTAATTGAAGTTAAAACAAGCGAGCACAGTGTATACACAGACGATTAAATTGCATCGCATGGGAGATTTCCGTCATTTTACGGTGAAGTGAATAATTCAAGTTGTTATGTAAGCGATAATACTAATTTGTAATATATACGTATAATATATACGTATAATATACGTATTTTAATTCAGGGATTACTGTAGATTTACTGTATCGTAACTCTCCTATGTTTAATTTCATATAGTCCTGACAATCTGATAAAATTATATAAAAGCTAATTTTCAATCTGCGCAATACTTGCAAAAACTTGCATGCAATAATGACACACTTTAATACAAGAACTATGTTTTTTTTGTGTTAGACAGATTTTATATGTTTTTCTTCACTGACTGTACACAAGCGAGTTTTCGAAACGGAAAAAGTTCTGTCCATTGAACGAGTTTGAACTTTAGTCAATTCTGGACGCGAAGGGTTGGGAAAAGGTAAAGGCGACAAGGGATTTAAAGAATTCATGTAGGTATAATGCCGAAAGTTAAGGTCGTTGCATAGGGGCGTGGCAGTGCTTTAAGTTGCAGACCCATAACTTGTTTAATGGCGTGATGCACACTTAGAAAATGGAGTGGTTCCAATTTGTTTTCATTGTTTCAAGACGTGGTCACGGTCCATTATCATTGCATAGTGAATTAATTTTTAATAATTGTTTTGTTCATTGATTTTGGTGAATTTAATCAATTTTCTCGAAGACCAGTAATTGTGAAATACATAACGAAATTTTATAAAAAACATGGGAAAAAATTTTGTATCTTGGAGAGTCTATCGAAGTGATGATTCATAAATAAATTAATAACGAAAGCAAGCGGCCAATGAGAATAAGAATCGAAAATTTCAAAATAAGTGGAAGCGCTCTAATTTGACTTTTTTTTTTGTAGTATGCATATGTGATTATTTTAAGATAATGAAAGTTTCTTTTAGTCCACATTCTTGTTGCGCTCATTAAAGTTTTCCACTGCAAGAGAGATAAAAGCTGGTAAGGAAATTAAGTTAAAAGTTTCTCCGCCAGCAAAAAATTTTTCCCCTTGCTGAACATGTTTGAATAATATAGTTAAGACACTAAAAGTATTTTGATCGTAATAATTACTGCAGGTATTACACATTGAAAAAAGATGGAAATTAAAATATCTTTTTTTAATTTTAAAGTTGCTATTAATAGATGTATCTCTTGTAAAAAGAATATTATTTGTTTCGTAAGAATAATATTGTGTGACGTATTTTTTACATCTTTCTGCGATGGATTAAAAATCCAAATTTCATCAAATTTAATAACATTCGAAAATTATATTTGTACAAGAGTGTGTTTTTTGTATCTCTACAATATTTTCACAGACAATTTTGTATACATGTTTCATCAAAATTTAATCAGATTAAAAATAAGTATATCTATGGAAAGTTTTCTGTTGTTAAGTTCTTGAAAAGATGTGAAATGAATTAGTTTAGATATTCTTAATTTAGATTTTTACTTCAATTTACTCTTCTTTGGTTCATGGGTTATATCTTTTTCATCGTGACGCGCTGCCATCTTATTTTACCGACAAACATTGTCGAAAGATCTTTTATTCTTTTCCGCAAACAGACAAGCAATCTAATTTCGCAAGCCCATTTTCACGGTTTACCGACGAAAGTATACATTTGCGGGACCCACGTCTCATTGTTGCGAAAACATTTTTTTCCCGCCCGAGCCGAGTTATTTCTTTGGCGGTAAGGCCGCGGCGGCTACGAGGTCGTTCTGGATAATTTTCGGAAGGGTCGCGAGAAACCGCCGCAGAGAAAACGCTTGAAGTGGCCTCCACTTTTGCGTGGGTTTATGCTTTCCGGTTCCTCCCGCCGCTATTATCCGGCCTCCTCTGTTCTCCAGTCGCGTTATGCCTGAAACAATAAAACACGTTCATGAATGAAACCCTTCTCCAGCCATCACCGTACCCTTCTCCCATGCCGTGCAGTGCGTTCCGACGCTAGACAACCTCGCACCCTTCCGCGCCCTCAGGAGTGGCCCACCACTCTCTCTTTTAACGCGCTTTATCATACTCCTTCCATTCATTCGCGGCCTCTAGTAATAAAGTCAAAGGTACGACGCGGGTGATGGAAGTCGGAGGTCGAGGTCGGAAGATCTTCCTACGTGACTTCACACACGCATAATTTGCGCCTGCACCCACGCACGCACGCACGCACGCACGCACGCACGCACGCACGCACGCACGCACGCACGCACGCACGCACGCACGCACGCACGCACGCGACGACGACG